GGCGGCGCCGTGAGGCGGGCGGCTGTGGGGGCCGCGCTGGGAGCAGCTTTTGGCACGTACTTTTTGTTTTTTCTTTTTTTGTTTTTGTTTTTTAAAGTCGTTGGGTGTGGTAAGATGAAGAGGCTGTGCACGTGATAGGCATTAATCAGAGCTTTTAATTGCTGGAGGCAGCAGTGGTGAAAATAAGACTGCATTATTCAGCATCTGGAGTAGCGTACAAAGGTTCGCCAATATAGGGGGGAAAAAAGTGAAAGAAAAGTCTAGGTTTCACCGGGGAATTGTTGTAGGAAAGGTAGGACTGCTGTGGAGCATGAAGCAGGACATTTAACCAAGGAATCGCAGTTGTGAGGTGACTGAATTTCTGTGAGACCTTCTCCTTTGTGACAGCTATGCAGTTCTGCGCTTCAGCTGGGTACAAGCCCATCGTCTTCGTCTTTTAGCCTGGATCCATGGGCTGTGGCTCTTATTTTGACAACTTTGGTAGTGTGACAAGGCCGTGAGAAAGTATGCACAAATACCCAACAATTCCTGCAAAATGAAGTAGTTCGTTCATTCATTGAAGTTACAGTGCCTAAAAAGAGATGATTCTTCTCCACTGCATCTTGATTTTTTCCCCTTTAAAATTATCAACACCTTTGAAACAGCTTTCTTTGCCTCCATACTAGCCCCTTTTGTTTTAAGTTCTGGTAATTAGGATGATCTCAACTCAGTAATCAGAGAGGTGAGTAACTTTGCATACATTTTCTGTAGTCAGCATCTACTACAAGTGATTGTCCAATGTCTAGACACGTTACTGGAACATGATAATAGTGAAAATTTTTTGACGGTGACGGTAGCTTGCAGAATTTGTATTGTCATTTACAGAATGCCAGCTCTTCATAATAACTGGCACTAGGTGAAAGCAGCCTTCCTGATAAAACTGTCTAAATTTTCCCAAAGACTTACTTCCTACTTACCAGGCCTATTCTCTCTCCATTCACAATGAAGCTTGTTCAGAGTGCTTATTTTGCCTGCAGTTACATATACTGTAAAATCTGCAGTATGAGTTAAACAACTTCTCAAGAGGCTGTGCAGGGGCATTTCTAAATGCAAATCTCTGTACTGTTCAGACTTCAGATCCAAACAGGTCTGTTTTGGGGGGAAGGCTACATGGCCGTGTAAGTCATAGGTTCTGCCTGCAGGTAACACCTGAAAGGAAGGGATGTGACAGCCCTCCTGTCTTGCACAACACAAGCTCCTCCTGCGGGTAATACCTGAAGAATGACAATTTAGCCCAAAGGACCCTTTCATTTTTCCGTGGAAATAAGGACATAACTGGCCCAAGGCATATGCAAGTTAGCTGTCTCTGACAGCTATCTGCAGCAGACGTGACAGAAGGAAACAGATTAGTCATTCAAGCCTGAGCAACCCCCTTGAAGCTTGTAGGGCAGAAAAACTCGGGGCCATGAGGAAGGCGATGAGGAGGGAATGGGAGGATTTTATTCTGCAAAGGATGATCCCGTTCTGCAGGAGCATTTTCCACTCACTTCTCTAACAGCAGCAGGAGGATCAAGTCCTCTTTGGCATTCTTTGGCTTCCCTGTCCCACAGCGATGACTGGCCTCTTATCGCATCCTCCTTACCACAGCAGCCTAAGATGCAAAGGAAGAGGAATAGGGGATCGCTGAGGAAAGGAGGAAAAGAGCAAGGGAGAAGAGGATTGTTCCTCATATGCTGTGAAGAGAGATCACAAACTGCTCTACAGGCAGGTGAAGGAAACGGGAGAAATACATACATACATCCCACTATGAGGAACCAAAGATTTCTAAAGTACTCAGCCACCGAAGACCTAACTGCCTTTTTCTCCACCTAGAACATCATTGATTTCTCAAAGCTTCCCACCTATCTTATCTCCATCATCCTTTCCCTATACTCACTTCCAGGATCCTAGCTATCTTCGCTCCATTCCATGGATTACCTTTTGATGACCAATTCTGGTCTTTCTGCAGAACTGCTTTTTACCTACAGAGCTTTGACTTAACTCCTGCTAAGTGTGTCTGTGGGTTACTTTAAGGGCCACCACCATGGAAAGAAAACTAGATCCAAACCACCCATAATTAGAAAGTACGAAGCGCTTATTTATACCATCAAACCTTTCATCAAACCTTTCCTTCATGGAAACCAGAAGCACCTTCCTTTTCGTGACATCTACACACTGCACAGTAAAATCATTTAATACCTACGTCATGTTAAAACAACAGTAGCAAAATGGTACAGCAGCAGCAAAATAAGAACAATTAATAGCTACACACTTACTGAGGTCTTTTTATTTTTTTAAAAGTCCAATCAATATATAATCATGCTATAGAGATTCTTAAATTATTACAAGTGCCAAACTATTTGGCAGTACAAGAATGTATAATACTTTAAGGTCAACTGAACAAGACCACATTACCGCTCTGCTTATGAAGGGTATCTTTCGAAAAGGATGCTAGGCAGTCTCTTCCTTTCACATTGTGAATTTATTTTTATTGCAGCTATGCCTAAAATGTTTTTTTCACAGATGGTTACCTGTTTGTTTTCAAAACTACAAATGAACTAGAATCTAGCACTATAGCCACTAGAGAATTCTTCCCTCTAGGGGAGCATGTACTAGAGAAAAAATCTGGACTGGGAACCTCAAATCAACACAGTTATTGAATATGAGCCAAAACAGCAAATCTAGATTTGTGAATGCCCGAGTGGCTGTGGTTACGGTGCAGTGTCCACTTCCATTTGCAGGTCTAAGCACAAACACACTATCTTTGTCATATATCCTCTGCTTCATGCTCAGCTCTCCTCTGGACCAAAATTTCATTTCTCACAGGACTAGCACTCTTCTCTAGTCTTATCTCCCTTGATCTCCAGTAGAGTTTCTCTCCACTTCTACATACGTCCTGCAGCGACAGGAAAGCGTTCCTGAAATGCATCACATATCTGAATAACATAGACATTCTGTCCCCCTGTGGCCCCGTTACACCTCTGAACATTACTGAATATATTCAGCCACACGGCCCGTACAGCCTGGAGCCTTATTATGAAAATGAAAGAAAGCGCCCAGGTAGCTCTTTTCAAACTCGCAGAAAGATGAGTCACACTACCTTTAATCCAGCACCTCAGTAGTTACTGCCATCAGTCAGAGGAGGAGAAAGCTGTGTCTCCCACAATCTTCCTGAGGACTGTGCCCTAATCACCAGGCATTAGGTCATTTTAATAGCAATGGATCACGTAGTATACGCTACAACTGACTGCAAGTGAAAATCTTGTTTGCCTGTTGTATAATGCCGCTTTAGTATCAGAGAGGGTTACCTATGCAGCTAATTCATACTGCACAGCATGATATAGCGGCAGGAATAACAGTACAGCTTTACAAATTGAGCTTAGATTTGTACTATCCACTGCTCCGTACCCATTCATACTTTGTCTTTTCTGTTACAGGATTTTCTTAATAATTCCTTCCACTTGGAGGACATTGTATGAATAATTGTAAACAAATGAAAACAAACAAAGTATGCTGCAGGAGGAATTTGTCTTGAAAGGGTTTCATCCATTAAGTTTAAATGGAGATAGCCCAAGGCCACAGCAGAGTTGAGGTTTAGCATGAAACAAGAAAGATGAAGCAAGGATGCCCGATTATACATTAAAACTTGCTTATGTTTAGGAAAGTGCTTATCCTAATATTTATGTGCAACACTACATGTTTTTCTGTTACAGTAATTCAAAACAGCCACAACTGTGATAAAAATAAACTTGCTGTTCTTCCTTGCTATGTTCACTAATTTTCAATTTACAATCCAATTTTGAAATCCACATAAAAGAGATCCAACAACTGGAATATATCAATTACTGATACTCTGAATAATCTTCTTAATGACCTCCAAAAAGAATTTCAAGGCACTGCAATGACTGCAAAAGCCTTAATACTAAAGGTGTATAAAAGCAGTGCAACTAGCAGTGTAACTTCTTTATGTACAGTCACTGTCAACAACCACTTTAAAACTTAGTAAGACCACAGTCCATCCTGAGGACTGCTGAAGAGGAAATAAAAGATTTACCTAAGGTCAGAAATTGTCCAAGCCAAGATGACAGTACAGGATGTTGAATACTATGCTTCTAATTTAACTGTATTTTTTCCTCTCTTACATATCTTTCAGAAAGGGATGATTTCATGCTTTTTTTTTAATCATCCACTTAATCAACGCAGTGATGTTAAGATTTAAATCCAGAAGCCTTTCCTTCTAAAATTAATATATTGTTATGGGGAGAAACATAAATGTGAACCTAGAGCGTGGACAGTGCTAGATTCCAAACCTCAAGGAAACCTGTTCTTGTAGATGACAGAAGAGATATGGCAAAGGTACGCTGTTACTTACCTTCACAGAACTGATAGGCTGCAAGTTTATTTTTCATTATTTATTGGTCTTAATACATACTTTTGCCATCATTTACACAAAAATACTATAAATACAAAATTTAAGAGTACCATTGTACTGACATTATACAGCTAAATAAAGCAAGGATTTAGTCCAGAAAGTGAGTATCAGTTACATTAGTTATTATAATAACTAATTTTGCTTTCAGGACAGTATTCAATTCAGTCAGTTATGCAACTGGGAAATTGATGGGAACTGTGTCTTTATAACAGAGGAGAGATTATGATATACCAGTGCTTTTAAAAAGAAATTGGACTTGGTTTGAGTGCTCCCCTGTTTTTAAAATCTCCCATTTTTTTGTTCGTCATAATTTACTGATTAATTGAAGTATGACTCTGTATCTTCTATAAATAGAACTTCATTGTCAAGATACTCCAAAATGATGTTTCCACCATTATACAACGGATATTCTTTATCAGATAGCCATGTTTCCAATGTGTGCTCAAATGGTAAGGCTTCTCCGGAGGCCATATGGCATAATCTCAGTTTCTGCAGGATAAATAACATAGGCAAATCTTGATGTTAATTTGTATCTGGGAAGCAGGAAGAAGGGGGAGGGGAGAATACCAAATTGGAACAGGTTTATTATTTTTACTGATTTACCTGAGCTGTTGATTTGTTGTTGTCATTTTTAAGGCTTGCTAAGGAAGCTGCACAATCTACTACTTTGCCAATACTCCACTTACTGCAAAAGAACATGGGCTTGCTTTTTTCTTTGTTTCCCTTTGGTAAGAACACTTGAAAGTAAACTCTTTCTGTCTAGAAAAACAAGCAAAAAATTATTCATAGAAACAAGAAACAATTCCAGAGATACATATCTAACAGTTTTTCAGTAAAAAAAATTAAGGTAGCAGAAATGGCTGAGATCACCAAGTCCAGACCCCTCCAACTGCAGGCACTTATACATTGCACAGTTAGTTCAGAAAGGTCAGAAGAGCATCTTTCTTCAGACTTTCATAGATAGATAGTATTACATATAGACAGACATAAAAGCAGTCTCTGCCCTGGATTTATTAGACAGCTGTGACTGATCTGAAGAGGAAAAGGTGACTTTAAATAGGCAGTACTGGCTTTTGGCAGCAGTACAATCTGACTCAAACTGGCATGCAAAAGCTGTTGAAATAGAGCAATCCACTGTACTAGAAATGCCTGCCTCACAAACCAATGTTTTGGTCTAGGCCACCTCATCATTTATCCTATTTTTCCTCCTTTTATATACTAAATGTTCCTTGAAAATCTACCAGAGCGAAACATTTTTTTAAAGAAATTTCAAGAATAACTTATGAGAGAAAGACTTTAAACAGGGGATTGGGACAACATCCTCAGGTTTATTTCTTCTAAGCATTCAACAGAAAATGCAGAAACAAGTATTATCAATATATTAATCACTTAAGATGTCCCTTGCTGAGTCCAAGCCAAATACAATCAAGCAAAACAGTCTTAATTGTCTAGGGAAAACATAAATAAGTCCACTAACAATAAGAGAACCGCCCTTCCTCCAACTATCCTCATAGAACTGAGTCTGAATTTCAACTTGTGCGTTTTCTGCAAAACTCGAGTTCTCTCCACATGCAAAAATCTTTAACATCAAGGAATATTACAAAGGGGCAAGGGAAGCAGGACCTGAGCCAAAAATGTAAAACAGCTAACAGAGCCATTCTGCATTACAGACATCACTCAACTGTTGTTCGTGCCTCAGCACCTTCCTACACCTCCTCTTCACGTTCTAAGGATGAGGAGACCGTCTCCCACAGTTCATCCGAGCGTAATTCTCAGAGCAGCTCATTCTACTATTGCATCCCTAACTATGGGATATGCCTCCTGGACTTTCTGTGCCATACCCAAGAACATACCGGTCTATCAGGGACACAATAACTAACATGTTATTTTGCAGCATTCCTGTTCTGAGCTAGTCAGTCAAGAGAGGTAACTCGTATCAGCTCTCAAACCAAAAGAAACAATTATCTATCTGTAGGAAGCTAATCTCAAGGAAGAGGTCAGAGAGAAGTTAAGACAAATCTAAGATAGCCCTGTTTTCTGGGTCATAGAATAACACAGGTCAGGAAGGACTTATGGGGTCATCTGGTCCAAAACTGTGCTCAAAGCAGAGCCAACTTTAAAGCTGGATCTAGCTCTCAAGGTAGATCTGATTGCTCAGAGTCAGATCCAGTCAAGTTTTGAACATCACAAAGATGAAGAGTCCACAGCTTGGAAACGTGATCCACTTGTTCAGGGCAACTTGTTCCAGAGTGACCACGCTCGCTGTGAAGATTTTTTCCTGTGATCTAATTGGAATCTCCCGTGTTGCAGTTTGTGCCCACTGTCTCCTGTCCTTTTGCTGTATACTGGCAAGGAAAATCTGACTCCATCTTCTCTGTATAATAATGAGAGAACTAACGTGCCTAAGAGGAATCCCAGAAACTTCATATTAAAAAACTATCACCTGACTGAAAAGAGCTGGGCAGTAAAATATTAGCGTCAGGAGTCTGAAAAGCAATTTAATAGCAAGGTATTGGAGGTTAACAGGCTAATTTAGCAGTGTTATAAACAATTATCACTATTCTAGATGGTTACACAATATCCAGTTGAGAAAATGAATAATGAGAGAAATGAGCATACAGTCATTTGTGCTACAGCTTACTGGCTTTGGAATTAGGAAGCAACTTTTTAATATCCTTATAAATATGGAGGGTTTTTTTTAATATTCTGCAATATTTGAAATTAATCACTCTTCTTCCAGCACATATTTATTAAAGTGGCACTGTGAAGAACGCCACAAACAGGTCTTTGTATTATGATTTCTGCCTAAGCAGAAGTCATAATGCTGCTAATCTAATTTTTAAGCACGATTTAAACTAGAGACAAAGAAATTCATAACAGGAGTCAGAAAATCAATAGCTGTTGTTGTTTTACAGATAATAGTTAAATGTATTCTACTAAGACAACACCTAATAATAAAACTATCACATAGGATGTTGTCAGTATTATAAATTCAATATAAGGCCTAAACTGCATGTGCGCTAATATAACAGTGTTATGAACAGCTATTTAAACACAGTTCTTTTCAGAGGACGCATAAGCACTGATCTAAAGTGAAACCCCAGATAAAAGAAAGAAGTGTTTTCCAAACCAACATAATCCTGATCTGGGGAAAAGAAAATGAACTCTTGGTACCCGAGTGGCTACTGTAGTGAGAAACAATAAGGAACCCTGTGAAGTATTTCAAGAATCAAGGAAATTAAAGGCTGAAACAAACATAAACAACTATCAAGACCATCTTCCCAGCCAAAGCAGGAACAACTGACCTCAAGCTCACCTTATCTAAAAATGGAATATACATATCTTAAATCTAAGTAGCAGAAATAGGAATGAAGCTTTATAGAACACAAAGCTCGGTTGTGCATGGGAGAGCTGTATAAATTGTGTCCCGTGTGTGCCAGAAGCCTTTCGGTATTCCTCAGGAAGGACATCCCTGAGATGTATTTGCCTGCCACACAGCAAACCTATTTCTGCTATAATATAAGGTAATTTGATCTGCTTGCTCTACACTATATGTAGACAACTTTTAACAGATATGAGATTAATGACAAGCTTTCAGGTGCCAAGTTGAAATCTATGCATAAATGACTGTGAGCTTAGAGAATTAAAACTAAAACCAGCCTGGGGGAGGATCCACTAAATGAAGGACAAGAAATTTAGAAAACTTCTCCTTCCCATAAATAAGCCAGTTATTGAAAAAAAGTATGACTGACCTGAGGCAAGGACTTATCCCCACACGCATGCATTTTCAGTTTCATTAGTGCCACCTTTGCTGCTGTCTCACTGCTTTTCGCTCCTTTCCGTTTTTTGCTTTTGACTTCCTCACTTTTTTTAGAATCTGAGGACAATATTATTTCTGTTAGCGTGAATCCAGTTTTCTCCTACTCTGTTAAAACTTGTCTGAATGTATCGTGGACTCAGCCCACTGGGCCTCATTATATCTCTAAGGTTTCCATCTCCATCATGCACTCCTGAGGCCATGACACTAGGTACTACTACTTCAGAGTATTTGGAATTGTGCCCAGTCCTAATAGAATTGCTAAGCAGTTCAGACCTCTGCACTGAAAAGTACATGTACACTAGCACTATGTAAACATAGTTTGCAGAAGTTGAATCCAAACACTAGTGCTTCTGTGTGTTGCCATCACAGAATCCATATAGTAACAGTTTAACAGTTTCAGGCTCTGTTTTCTGTAACCATCACGCCCCCAACACACACACTCCCCATCTAGTTAGGCAGTGCTAGTTTATTCTATTTCCTGCCCTAGGCTTAGTTTAAAAGCTAGAAAATAGCACATTGTAGACTTTAAAAAAAACAAAAACAAACAAACAAACAAAAAAGCGCAGCATTGTTGCTTTGGCATAATCCCGGCAGATTGGCATGCATACCCAATATAGTACTTGTTGGGCTGTGTGGGTATGACTTAACAGAAATTGCTAGCTACAATTTATTACATTACAGCATTTGTCGAATAAGAACCAAAACAACCATCCTGAAAGAAACCTGAATCTGATTTAGTCTTCAAAGATACTCTTTATAGACATCTACTCCCGTTGTCCTGCCTCAGTCTAGAGGAATAGAATTACATGCTGACATGTGGGTTTAGGGCTATTTAATATAGGAACCTCCATCCTTTCATAATGAGCTTAAATAGCCTACTGAAAAAAAAAAATCCCACTGCAGTTGCCTAAAAAAAAAAGAAAATAAATATCCCACTGTACTTGCCTATAATATTTTGAACTAGCTGCTGAGTGGCAGCCATTCGAGGTTTTGGCGCGTCCAGTTTCTCACATTCATGGTCTGATTGATGCCGGTGCCTGTAACCAATAAAATGGAAAACTTTCATGACCTTTTCAGTATGCGAATGAAAGAATATTTATGTTTCAACACTCTGTCATGCTCACCTTAGGCAAAAATGTTTTTCACAGTAGGGGCACAAAACTGGTAAAAGCTCCTTTGCATTGCAGTCCTTAAACGAGCATGGGTAAGATCTATGCTGATCTGATTTCACACAATTATTTCTTATATTCACCTAAGCATTAGTATGAAATAGTCTGTGTAAATAAACAGATATTAAAGCCACAAGTCACCACCCCAGCCTCCCGCAAGAACTGTGCTAGCTGTCCACTCTATGGGCAAAACTTGTCCAGGGATTCTCTCCTACTTCTGCTCTGGTTAGGTTTAGCTCAGAATTTGGAAAAACCATCACCCTAATCAAACTTGATTTACTTCTGACCCACAGAAAAACAGCAGATTCATTTTTTAAGCTTGTCACACTCTCAGTTAAATACTTCACACCTATACACTATGTATTTGATCTCAAAATACGCAGGTGCATGGTATTTTGATGTATTACGTGGTACTCCTTTATTATTAGATTACCTCAGAACACCCATGAGCATCCCGGGTCCTGTGCTGCAGGCTTAGTGGCAAAAGAAGAAAATAGCACGTCACTCAAAATTTCAAGAAGAGAAAACTGCATATGGAAACGTAAGTGTTTGAAGAGCGATCTGAAAGATTTTATAGCAACACTTCAATTAAATAATCATTCTTCTTCAAAGTTTGTTCTAACCTACAGACTTCACATCATGAATGGACTGGTTATGTTTTCCCTGAGTATGCAAAACATTTAGCTCACTAGACTTAGATCTGAAATCAACAAAGCATTTCAATAGAATAAGGATATTGACATGCTTAAGAATTCAACTCAAAGCAGTTGGAGTTGGTCTATAAATTTTACATGGGTTTTGGATCGCCTTCCACAGCAGAGCTCTCTTGAAGGCTCCTGACATTTTAAAGTGAAATGTTAAGTGACGGTCAAATCTGCCCTCAGCTTAAGACTGCTGATTTGAACTGTGAATCAAAGTGCAGGCCCCGATTTGAGACCTTGAAAGAAACTTCATTCATTTCTACATGACAAAATACCAAAAAAAAAAAAAAAAAAAAGAATACAACACAGGGTCTAATTCAGCCACCTTGCATAACGAGTTCTGTATATTCCAGAAACACTGTCACTGATTGCAAACCTCTACTACAATCTCTTGGGAGAAAGATGGCAGGCTCAGTGAATAAATTATTTTTTAATTGAATGCATCTAAATTGTGAGTCACACTGTGTTTTACACATTTATTTCTATACAACTTCTACTGTAAGAAAAACTTAGCAAAAACTAGGAGCACAGAAAAACCTACCAAAAGACCCCTGAACAGCCATCACATACAAAGGGAAGAAAATCTGAAACCAAGAGAGATTTGTTTTCAGTTAGACAACATGGTCATTGTTTTGCTAATAATTTTTTAGCTTAATCTTTACACGAATAATTTTTGCACTTAGGAACTGCATCTACACAGTACTTAGGAGTGGCTTTTGTAACAGATACACTGTTAATTACTCTAGCTAGTGTTACTGGAAAACATACAAGGAGGTAAATTACATTTTTATATGTTCCAGAACTTGGAATTATACTTTACATTCCTAAAATAAGCTTTATAATATCAGACTTTGAAACTAAAATATTTAGCTGGCCTGCAGACCAACATTTATCAGTTATGCCCAAAACACAATTTATTTTGAGAGCTCTCAAAATATTATTTACTGTATAATGGAGCACTGGACAATCTACAATTTTAGTATATGGATTACCAACTAGATGGGATGCAATTTCTTCCAAAAAGCCAGCGTTTCCTCCACGTGACAATCCTGATTATCCTGCTCCTTCCTCTCTGGCCTTCATACCATACACACTTGCCTTCTGTATTTAAATTGTGTGCACTTCTTAAGACTCTGCACACTTCCCCCATCTACTCTATCAGTTCTTACAGAGAAAATTGCTTTGCTGTTTTCCAAACACAGCTGCATCACCTGTGACACTCAACACCCCCCTCCATGCCATTACTCCATTTTTCATCCTTCAAAGTAGATGGACCATGAAGCAATTGGATCGCAAAGGATCCAGATCGTGAGGATCTCAGTCGCTTCATCTACAAGACTGAGTGCCCTCGTTATAAAGCTTTCAGTATGAGCATTTTTGCCTTCTCTTTCGGAAGAGTTACAGTTTCATCATCATCATCATCACAATCACCTTCTCAGATCAATAGTGACAAGCAAGGGCGAAACACAGAAAAAAGGGTAATAACAACAGTGAGCAAAGCAGGGGATTAAACATCTAGTGACAAAACTGAGACGATGGCTAAAGACAATGGATCACGTAGGGGTCCTGTACGTTATACCAGTAAGATCTGGCTCTGGGAGAGTTCCTCTCTCCTAACAGTTACAACTGGATTTGTAGCTACGCAGCTTATCTTGTCTTTCGGGTTATTCTCGTTAACAAAGCGCCTCTTAAATCTCCTTATCAGTAGCAAAACCATTATTTTGAACGGTATTGCTATATCTGCCTACTAACAAGAGCAAGCAAGACACAGCATAGTCTCGTTTGGAGAAAAAAAAGCATGAATGAAGCAAGCCTTAATTCGCACCTCCCTGCAGCAGCACGCCACTCCCCCCGAGGCGGGGGCGCCATCTTGGGCCCAGCGGGCCCCCTCCCACCGCCGCTCGCAGCCCCGAGGCCCCGCCCACACGGCCCCGCCCCTAGCCACAACGTCCCCCGCCTCTCCGGGGGCACCGGGCTCAGTGGCCCTGTGCG